ATCCCCCACTACTTCCGTCACCAAAGACACATATGCACAAGATGAGATTAGTAACTTAAGGGCTGGTGTTGAAGGCATTAAAAGAAAAAAAAAAGCATGCCCCCTTGTGAAATGTTTCCAATGCTTATATCCACACAACCCCATCCCTCACTGCAGACTTCGATGATCAAATCCTGCTGGCTTCTTGGGTACCCCTCAAGTTAAAAGTATCTGGGCTTTTTCAATACACAGAGACCAGGAGGCTGATAATAAATATCCCTGGGAATCAGAGATGCAGACATGAGCATCTACCCTGACATATTCCAAATTTAGTCATCACCCACAGACACTACCTGTCAGGACATGGAACCCAATGGATGAACCTACCACAAAGGGGTACTTACCATCCTCTAAAGAGTTCTTACGGATCATGGGCCTTGTCTTTTAGACTTTTGGTAGAAACTTCCACTTTACAGTGTCACTGTCTCCTGGACAAAGGATATGGGATTTTATTTTAGCCATGATTCAAGTTAGCCATAGCAATCTTGGCTGATATAAGGAAGCCTCACTAATAGGGAAGGCCAAGCTTGGGGTGGATGCCTTCTGCTGAAGAAGTCATATAAATGCTCACTTTGACATGCATGTGCAGGTCAGCCCCTGGACCAGATTCCAAGATGCTGCTGCAGCTGTTGCTGCTGCTGCTGCTGCTGGGCGTCATCTTGTGTGACTTTCTAGGTGGTCTCGTTGTTACCTTCTCTAGACAACACAGAGAACATGGATGGCACTAGACATGCTTATTAAATAACTGTAGGGCCAAGTTACTTCTAGAAATCATTGTTTGTGCTCAATGCCACAGCAGGAATGTGTGCATTTTCCTAAATTGGCAGAACAGTTTGCAAAGCAGGAAACTGTTTTGAAAGAAATGATGTGTAAGTTACTCGGATAGCTGTCTAGACACTGATAGATATGCACTAATGTGGGTCACAAGTCTACTGTTCAAAGATAGGTGAAGGGTACGGTCTATCCTCTTTGCAATCTCACCTGCAATGCTTTAATAAGTTTTATTATTAGAGCTGGTGGGAATCCTCCAGATGAAAAGAAAATGTGGTCCAAAGAAATGAATCAAGTCACCCAAGGTCACACATTAGTTAGTGGCAGATCCTGGACGAGAGCCCAGATAGCTAAACTCCTGCTGGGCATTTCTGCTTCTCTTTCTTGTTTCATAAGCAGGTTTTCTCCTCAGTTGTGTTTCTGCCACCATGTCACAGAAATGCCTCCCTCGTTGGCTGTGCAGTCCACCGTGCCAGAGGCAAGCCAGTCTTATTCCTTGGGAAAGGTGGCAGAGAGCTGTATTTATATCACTGGAGTGTAGTCATTCTCGGGCTTAACGGCATTTCTAATGAGCTGGTGGACACATTGCTGTCTGGACTATTTCCAAGTCAGCAGCAATCCCTCCACTGCCTAGATATGCTAATTTTAAAAGGGGCAGTGGTATGGAGGGGAAATCTTGTTAGAAAAGCCATGAGTTTCTCCTCTGCTCTCCCCCTTACCCCTCCCTATACCCTTTCTCTAGTCCACCCTCTGCCCCCTTCCCCCAACCAGAGACAAAGTCTGTGTAGCTCAGGTTGGCCTTGAACTCATGGCAACTCTCATGTTTCAGCCCTCTGAGTGCTAGGATGACAGGCATGAGCCCACCATGCCTTGCTTCTCTCTTCTTCCTGCTCCCTTCCTCCTTTCCTCTCTCCCACCCCAAGATTTTGCTTTTGTTGTTGTATTCAAAGGGCTGAAAAGGAGCTTAAGAAGTAATCTAGTTTCTTCCCTTCACACATAGCCACAGATTTACTGGTAGCAAATTTGGCTGTTTGCACAGAGGAACCCTCTCTCAGAAATGCCCTGTAGATGCCTGAACCCCATGAGCACACAGCATGCAGAGCAGTGCGGGCAGATAAGGGTCCCATGAGAAATGCCAGCTCTCAAACCCATGGGAGGCAGGGCAGATGGAGAAGGATGGCAAGCTGGCCAGCATCTACATTTTTAACACCCGGTGTTAAGTGTTTAAACATTGAGATCTCTGTCTAGCTTTTCCTAGAAGATACTTCCCCAGGAGAGCCACACTTATAAAGGGACACACAGATTCATTACACCATCTTCTCAAGAAATGCTTCCTGTCCTAATCCCTCGTAGGAAAAGTCATTCCTATCACACCCCCCCAGTGTGGACTAAGTTGACTTTATTAGGGTGTCACAATCTGTGTCACTGATGAACCTCAGTTTTCTCTAGGCTCAATCCATTACCCCCAAGAGGAACAACTAGCAGCTGTCACCACCAAATCATCCAGCAGAAATGAACAGAGAGCACTCTCCATGCTGAGTTCCGGAAGTTGAAGACATAAACTTTGTATTTGGGAAACTATGATCAAATGTGGGACAGTATTATTATTCATGATGACGAAGATGACTGATTGTCAGGCCCTTTACTGAATAATTTCATTTCACTGTCACCCTAGTGCATATCATTGTTTATACAGAAGCCGAAACTCAGAAAAGTCAAGTTGCCCAAGGTCACACAGGGACAGAACACATAGCCTTTCTCCAAAGACCACATGCCAACTGCTATGTGAGGTGTGACAAAACTTTTCCTGGGGAGACATTACACACACACCTACTCACCCCAGATAGGAAGCTTATGACAGGCCAAAGAACAGGTACCACCAAAGTCCAACTTGGTGAACCAGTGAGTTTTATTTGGCTTACTTACAGGAGTATGGGTGAGGAGTTACTGGAGCAGAAATTCCCAAGGACAGCTGCATCACCACGGTGATAGATCATGAAAGCTGGGAATCTGGAGCTCTCGTCACAGTCTAGTAAGTTGGAGACTGTCTTTTCCAGGTGATTCAGTTGGTCTAAACCTCTTGCAGGAAGCTGGTCTGTCTCAGAGTCTTCTTTGCCTCTTGGCTTGCCTGAGAGTTGACTCAAAGGCTTGGTTTGTTTTCTCTTGGGAAGAAGGAGCCCACTGAGTCTTGTTAGTTTCAGGGACTTCCTGAAACTATTTTGAGTTGTTTATCTTCCTGCTCAAGAGGTTTCCATGTAGGATGAATATTTCAGTCTGGTAGGGAAACTGTTACACAATAATGGACAAGCAGACATTTTCAAAAGGTAGGAAGAGCTGTAAAGGACTGTGTGGAAGATAACTTGGGAGTTCATAGAGCAAGCGCTCTGGTTGGTTTTGCTGTTGTTGAACTTAACACAGCTAGACTACTTCAGTAGGAGGGGACCCCAATTGAGAATGTGCCACTACCAGATTGGTCTATGGGGCATTTTCTTAATTGCCAGTTGATGTGGGTGGGCCCTGCCTCCAGGTCCTGGCCTCCAGGCTCCAGCCTTGAGTTCTTGTCCTGCCTTCCCTGAGTGATGGAGTGTGAGCCGAAAGTTATAAGCCTTCCTCCTCCTTTGCTTTTGGTCATGGTGTTTTATCCCATCAGTAGAAGCCCTAACATATTAATCTAACGTAGTGTGAAAAGTTAGAAAAGAATTCTCAGAAGAGAACAATCCCTAGTCCAGGGACAGGGTCACTAATGCAGACCAAAAAAAGTTAGCCGGCTCTCTGTATCCATAGACCTCCTGTCATGTCCTACCCTTTCTCCCTCCTCCACATCTTGGCTAGACAAAGCTTGCTTGGCCGGCTCAAACTGTTGGTCCTGGTAGTACACTTGAACTCAGAGGGCTCTCATCCTCCTTTCTTCTCTGCACTCCTCCTCCACCCCAGGTTTCTCAGTTCCTTACCATCAAAGCAACTAACAGCCTTGGATGCTTCAGGTGTTGCCTTGAAGCTGTGAGAGCCCCAGAGCCTGCGAAGAAAACCAGTGCATGAACCCGGATGTATCCGGACGGAGTGACTCCATTAAAAATTCACTGTGTCATACTTGAACAATCTGAGGAGTGTTTCTCTTGGAGAGCCACAGCTGCAATGTGTCTATGCTGCTGTGCAGGCTCTTATCACCGTTTTAATGAAGTGTAGTGGGTTTGAAGTAAAGTCGGTCGGTTCTCATGAAAAGAATTAAAATTTGGTCTTGTGCTGCACTTCGAGCTCCAAAGCAAGACTCAGACTCATTATTCAGAAAACAGTAATTTGTTTTCATCCCCCAATATTAATTGTGCTGCTGCATTTTCACCTGATGGGATGATGAGCTCGTTATTAAGAAGGGTTTGCCCATAGGAAATGATTGATTACAATTACTTAGAAACCATTGGTCAGGGAGAACTTGAAAGGGACAGACAGTGCAATGCTGAAGGGGTCCCTGGCTGGAAAGAGGAAACTAATTACCATCCACAGCTCTGGTGGTATTCCAAGGCAAACCAGCCTGGTGGTTAGGATGTCTGCAACACTTGCGAAGTACCTGGCTGTGTTACACACACACACACACACACACACACACACACACACACACCTCCCTCCTTTCTTCCCTTCTCCCTGCCCTTTCCGTTTCTAGCAAAAACCACTACTGATGAGAGCAAGTGAGGCAGGGGACTCAAGCAAGGTCATTTAGTTTATCCCCCGGCTCTTCAGTTAATTGTACATGTCCAAATGCAAAGACTGTCGCTGATTCTGTTTACAGATTGCCAATAATTTCAATCTCAGGGGCCTGGCAAAGCAACTGCTCTGGGTAAATATCTACTGGATGAATAAACAATACCAAGGGCCTGGTCCTGTTCTCCTGGCCCTCCCCAAAATGCCCACAGTAAGAAAATCTTTTGGGGCTCACACGAAGGAACCTAATATCTCAAACCATGCTTCTGAAAGACGCTGAGAACACAGAGCACTCCCTTGAAATAAGGGAGTGGGAGAGAGATGCTGGGGGTGAGATGAACGACTGGGACTCTGGAAGAAAGCAGAGGAGGGTGTGAAGAGCAAAAAGGACAGGAGAAGGAGGAAGACGACATCAGGCAAACGTGGGGCTGGCAGCCTCTTCACAACTTTAAATAGCTCTGGGTTAATCTAAAGCAGGCAGTGTGACCTGGTAGTCTCAATAAATGGGAAGACTTTATTTCTGACACTTTAACAAGCTAAATAAAAGGTTTTAAAGAGAGAGTGGAGGGAAAGGGAGATGGCTCAGCAGTTAAAAGCACTGGCTGTTCTTCCAGAGGACCCAGGTTCAATTCCCAGCACTGACATGGTGACTGGCCGTTGTCTGTAACTCCGGTTCTAGTGGACTGGCTTCCTCAGGCTCTGTACACCTGTGGCACACAGACATACTTGCAGGACATATATGTGGTATACATTATGTATAATATATAATCATTATAAAAAATAAGAAAAGAAAATCCTGTCAACTTAAAAGCTCTGGTTTTCTGAGAACTGAAAATGAATCTACTTCAGAGTGGTGAGAAATGCGTTCTAAGAAGAGACCCTAGTCACTGCCATGACCTAGTCAGTCACTGCCAAGACCCTAGTCACTGCCATGATTCTAGTTGCTACCACGACCCAGTGACTACCATGATTCTAGTCACTTTCATGACCCTAGTCACTATCATGACCTAATCACTTTTATGTAACATGAGGTTTTCTTGGTCTGGCTGGGTCCCAGCACCCTTCTCTTCCCCAAAGAAACACACAGACGCTACATTAATTATGAAAGCTGTTGCTGTTGGCTATGGTTTCTTATTGGCTAGCTCTGTCTAAATTAACCCATTTCTAATAATCTAAGTATTACCATGTGGTTTTCTCTTACCAGAGAAAGGTCTGGGCCTCTTACTCCATTGGGGTCTACATTGCATCTGCTCAGCATCTCTGAAGAGAGGAGAGGAGAGGAGAGGAGAGGGGAGGGGAGGGGAGGGGAGGAGAGGAGAAGGGAAGGGAAGGGAAGGGAAGGGAAGGGAAGAGAGGAGAGAAGAAGAATTTCCTGTTTGTTTTTGCTTATATTCTGTTACTGCCCAGCTATGTCACTTCCTACCTGGCCAATCAGCCAATCAGTGTTTTATTCATTAATCAGTAAGAAAAGCATATACACAAAAGGACTTCCCCCATCAACCCTAGTCACTGCCATGACCTAGTCACTGCCATACCAACAGGTCAGAGGCATCTTGCAGGGAAATGAAATTTGCATCTGCCAGAAGGCATACCAGAATCATTCAGATAATATGGACTTGTTTGTGTAAAATGTGGCTTGAATCGTTGTGGTATCTGCTGGCCAAAGCCAAGGTAATGACTTTTCCTCAGCCTGTTCAGGAACTGGGAAACAACCAAGCAAGTGCTTTAGTATGCATCTTACTTAAGTCTCCTCTTCAGTACAGGTTTCCACTCTCCACTGGCTCAGCAGGAAAAACAAATCATTGTTGGTTTTAGGTACAGCACACTCCTTCATACTCTACAGTTAGGTTGTTTCGCCACAATCAAGCTGTTGAAAAATAACTAGATAATAAGACATTTTCCCAGTGCCATTTCATAACACATCCTAGAACACAGCATTGTGGGGGTAACCATGGGGAAGGGAGTCGCAACAGATACTTCCAGATTAGAAATTAACTGCACATTTCTTTAAAGGCATTTAGCTCTGCCCCAAATACCAGCTGTGTAATCTTCCAAATATCTTCATAGACACCTGCAGGCGAGCACGGTTGCCTCCCCAGGAGGCAAGAAAATGGAGCATATCTTCTCTCAACAGTACCTGTACAGCTAGGGAAAGAGCCCAGAGGCTGGGCTACAACTTTCTTGCCCAAATATCCTTAAGAAAAATGAGTTCTCTTTCAGTAGAAGCCAGAAAAGCCTCAAGGAAATTCTGAGAGTGTGGCTGGGGAGGTGAGCTTGCTCTGGCCTCTCAGCCATCACAGGTGAGTAGGGCATGGGACTCTCAGCCATCCAGTGCATTTTTCTACAACTCCAGGCTTCGACCCTCAAGTTCTTTTTCCAGAGAAAAAAAAGCCTTTCAGGAAATCCTCATGACCTTGTGTTGGTTTATGATAACTTTCTCAAAATTTTCCACTAGGTGTTAGGCCTCCTCGGGTGAAATGGAAGAGAAAGGTCATCTATTCTGATGCTTACATGAGAGTATGACTCAGAAGAGCAAACAGGGAAGGGATGGCAGTAATCCCCACATTATTTTTTAATACGTCACATGGTACCCAGATCCCAGACAGAAGATTCAAGATTCAAACAAGCCTGCCTTTCCTTCTAGCAGTTTCCCTTTACACAGACCCTCTGGTCTCCAGGATACGCAGGTATCCACAGAAGAGGCACCAGCATCCTTTTCCCTCATCCCAGGCAAGAATCCGCAGAGCAATCAAACTGGCTTCCCCCGGGTCAGGGAGGCAAGCTGGCTCCCCGTCAGCAAGCATGAGGCTGCCAGTGAGGGCAGACCTCTAGGACAGAGAAGGCGAGGGATGTGGGGGCACGAAATGGCCCTATCACCAGCAGCACTCCCTCCTAGGGTCTATCCTTGGTGATTTCTTGCTCGCTGCCTCAAGAAGACAAACTCAGAGTGAATCAATGGCAGGCCAATGCAAGCCTGTTCGTGAAAGCATTACTTTGGAAGCCATGTGGTGCTGGAACCTGCAGGAGCCTCCAACTGCCTAGGGTAGGGTTGGGCATGGGACAGAGCAGGACAAACATGAGAGAGAGCATGGCCCGGGGGAGACAGCAGGACTTGGGAGTCACAGGCCGACTTCCATTAGTGATCCTGCCCATGCCCCATTAGGAACTTATAAGTGGGAGGCACAGGAATAAAAATGTCCAGGCTCTTTCCTTGGTCCAGCCAGTCAGTGGCTTTGAAGACACAGAGACTACTTTCTGCTCTCCGGGCTGCTGAGCTGGCATCCTATTTACACGCATGCTCAGAACAGTGCCTCTATGCTCTTAAGCTGCAGACCCGGGCTTTCAGTACGGAGTTTTTCTGACTGGTGTTAAGTTAGGTGAATGGAATCTCAGGTTTGATACTTGGCTGTTCTTTTCCCCGTTAAATCCCCCACCCCATTCTTCCCCAAACGAAAAACAGAAAAGGAAGTAGGCATGAGTCCAGTCACCTTTAGGAAGTAGAAACTGTTTACCACGGAGAGCAGTGGCCTGCTCCTTCCCAGCAGCCTGCCCTAACCTCTTTCTACCACAAGTTCCTGATGATACAGCGTCCCCGTGGCAACTCCAAACACAAGGTCACAGGGTGTAAACTTTTTCTTCTTTTTACTGGCATAACCAAGGCTGGCCTGAGCTCACCGTGTAGTCTAGGCTGAGCTTAAAATCGAAGGTCCTGTCTCAAGCCTCCCAAGTACTGGGATCGCAGAGATATAACCTCCTCTTACTGGTTCGGGGTTTGGGGTGTTTTGTTTTGTTTTCTTCTCTTATATTTTTTTGGTTGTGAGCCTAGCCTTTAACGGCTGAGCTATCCCTCCAGCCCTGTTTTGTTCGCCGCTTAGCCCTGGCTGGCCTGTGATTTGCTGTGTAGATGGGTCTGGCCTTGGACTTGTGACCTTTCTTCCTTTGCCTTTCTAGGTCATTCAGGCAAACATCTTAGTCTAGGTCAAGTAGGAAACAAGATGGATTTTCACCTGGCTTCTTGTCTCATCATGGGCTCTGCCTCAAAGACATGGCTTTTGGATGTAACAAGCAGCTCACAAAGCCCTCAGGTGGCTGTCCCAACCCAATGGGGTCATTTTATGAAACTGAGAAGGGATTCAAGTGTCGGTTCTTTCTTCTCGGTTCCTACACTATTTTAGGACAGGGAGGAGTTACACGTTTTTGTAATACCTATTATTCCCACTGCAAAAGGAAAAAGGAAGAGGTTGGTGACCTCTTTGTTCGTCTCTATGTCAGAACATGTGCTATGGTCCCATCTGGGGCAGAAGGAAACTGGCCTGGTTTCTGCCCATGAAAAGACACAGGCAAGTGGGTTTCAACAATGTGGCCCTTTTCAGTTCATTTGGGAGGTGGCTTTATGGCTGCTCATAGTGCCCCGATGACTGGGAATTGGCAGGTACTGACACCCAAATGACAGCTAAGGAGGAAAGGAAGGATGGGGGGGTGGCAGTACAAAATGACCACCCAAGTGATTGTACCCCTACCCCAGCACAGGCAAGACAACCGTTCTGCTGGTGCTGGGACTTGCTCGCTTTATGCTGTTTTACAAACCAGATCACACCCGCTGCTCCTCCGGGAGTGTGTAGCCATGTGTCAGGTAGACATAGCCAAGGGATACACAAGGTCATTTTCCAGGAGTATGACGTTTTCCTTAAAGACTTGCATTTGGAACACATAGGAGATTAATTTAAGCACTTTCATATTTTAAAACAACACATATAGGTTATATTAATATTCTAACCCAAAATTGGATAGGGAGACCTAATTCCGCAGCTGAAGTGAGTACCCCGCCAAATGTGAGGCTGGAGGAGAGCTGCATGGCTTGTTCCCGCTCCTGTGGGTGGGGCACGTGCACAGGTACCCTTGGGAAGCATTCCTGTCCTGCCAGACAAAGACGCCAGCTATCTCGGTGTTGTGAGGCAGCTGGGGTTATGTTGGAGGTCTGGCTGAGGCTGGCCGCATGATGCCTGTGCTGGAACAAGCTATTCCACTCTCCTGGCTCCAAATAAATCCCCCACTGTCTGCTGGCTGCTAGTGCATCTCACTTGACAGTAGTTGGGAGGCCATTAGTAGAAAACAAGAATCTGCTCCTTCCGCATCTGCATATTGGACAAGCCCTGCACTATTTAGCGTGGAAAGCCCGATAAGAACTCAGCACAATCTGCCCATTGACTGCTGCCCTTCTTTCCCAGTCCCAAGTACCAGAGTCTCCTGGCCGAGACTCTTACTTTGCATGTTTCTGGCTGTCCCCAACTGAATGCCTGTCACTTGCACCTGCATGGCACGTGGAAGAGGAGAGAAAGGGAGCCTTTTGGGCGAATTCAAATTCCTGGCCACACATTCGTTCCACTCTTGTGTGTCTTGGGGATTTCTAAGTTAAGGCATAAACATGTTTAGAGAATGCTGTTTTCATGCCTCCACAATGCACTGTTGATTTTGACCCATACTCCCAGAAGCATGGCGGCTACCCTGCTTACGCCCTCTCCACAAAGGAAGCTGGGCTGTGATGACAAGGGCCTTTCTCCTCCTCCTTCGTAAGTACTCTGAGGTCAGTGAAGCCTCTGTTCAACTATCCAGGGAGAGTTCAGAACCATCTACGCTGGTTAAGCCTCATTACTCATGTGTTGTAGATCGGATTCTCTCTGTTGATTTTGCAGTACAGAAACTAGCCTACAACACAAATAGCCAACTGCCCCAGTCCATCGAATGAATGCATTTCAGAAATCACACTGATGTCAGAATATTGGGTGCCGTGCTGAATTTAGAAACTAATCAGAAAGAATTTCTCTAATGCTGCTACTAGAATTGCCTTTTGAATCAGCAGCTCATTCCCACGAAGACAGGGGCTTATTCCCTGTTACTCTCCTTCGACCCCCAGTGTCCAGCTCAGGGTTGAGCACACAGTAGGTGCTTGGCGAATATTTTGTTGGAGAAAATGAAATGGCATGGTGTTCATTCACAGAGGCAACATGTAGCACCTGGCAGGACAGGGCAGAACAGAGACCAAACCGAACAGCTCCACATTAAAAAACAAGGAAAAGAACTGATCTCCAAGAAGGAAGGAAAAAGGGGAAGCTGGGTTCTGTCAACATTTCAGGAGGCAGGAGAACAAATATTTAAGTTTGGTGGTATTTTGCATTCTGCTTTAAGTTGTTTAGATGGCAGAGGTGTGAAATCCCCGTCTCCCCATATTTTACAGATGCCACTATCTATGCACAGGTCTG